TTTGGAAAAGACATTTGGTTTATTCAAATTGGGACCCAGTGGGGTCTGCGCACGCGACCTGCTGTTGCTGCCTCAGTTTCTCTCTGGGAGCCTCTGGGCATTTGCAGTGGAGCTGAAGGGAGCGGCAGGGTCTGGGGCTTGGAAGCAGACAGTCCAGCCACACTGGATGAAACCGAGCCGCAGCCTGAGAGGATCAACCAGCCGCGTGCAGGAAGCTGCCGCTTAAGTTAATAAAGGGGTTTTTGTTTAAGAACTAAAAAGAAATGTGTGTGAGACTCCCCGGTCTTCCAGCAGCGATTCTCAAAATTGAGTACCACAGCCACCTGGAGGCCTGGGGAATGGCGTGGGGGGTGCCTGGGCCCTGCCTGTAGTTCCGGCTCAGCAGGGGTGGGGCGGGGACGTCACTGAGCAGCCTATCCAGGGGCCCCATCTTGAGAAGCTCAGCGTCACGGCACTTCATAAACAGACCTGTGGCTGAAGTTTAGCAATGGTGTCACCTAGAACACGTGAACTGCCTTGTGGGTTTTAAAGATTAAAGAACGAAAATCAGTGTGCCTGGCCTGTGGTAGGCATATTCGTCTCTCTGGGCGGGAGGCACCTACTATGTATTACAATGGCTTCAGCACCCACCTGGTGGCAGCATATGCAGGTGACAGCACAGATGCGGGTGCTGAGGGCCTGTGATACCACCCCCTTTAGCCCTCTGAAGGCTGCTCTGGGATGAGGAGGGCCAGACACAGAAAAATGGATAAGAAACAAGACATGGGGTGAAGTCCTGGGCTGGGGGAAACACTCGACCCCAAAAGTCTGGCAGGGCAGGATGGCCTGCTCTGACCCATGCCGTTCAACCACATTAGAAGAGCAGGACAGACCGGTAGGGGCAAGAGGGCAGCTTAGGGCAGTGGCATGCAGGCCCCCGACTCTCAGGAGCTGAGGGGCATTGCTGGCCGAGCATGGGAGGGCCAGGCACAGGCACCACCCTCCCCCCAGCCCCCAGCTGCTGTCCTCATCTGTGAGGGGGCACCGCCGTGCTTTGCTCCCCGACCTGGCACGGAAGGGAGCATGAGGTGGGCAGGAGGGAGGGGGCCTGCCATGGAGGGCCAGGAGGCCAGGATGTCCCTCCCCACTCCCGTCCTCTCCACTATGCTGCTTCTAGAAGTGCCTGCACCGGCCTGCCCCCTCTTTGAAGGGACAGATGTCGGGAGAAAGCTGATTATTGTCAAAGGCTGGAGGCTGTGACCGGAGATCTCGGTGAGCATGACCCAATTCTGAGCTATTCTCAGCCTGGTGGGAGCCAGTTATTCCCTCCCGCCAACGCCACCGCTTCGGAGACGGCCTGACTTTGAAACGCCCTCGTCCTGGCTGCTGGGCTGGGCCACGAAGGCTCCCCTGGGCACAGAGGCTTCTCGTGGGGAGGCCTGTGGGCTGGCAAGGCCACTGCTGGGGCAGGGCAGCAGGCTGGCCCCACTGCGCACCTCCTTGCTCACTGAGACCCACCTCAGGCAGGGACCGGCCCGCTGGCTCCGGGGTCCACACCTTGGCTCCTAGCCTGTCTGCCGCCAACCTGCTGGCCATCTCAGGAAGCGACTTCTCAGTTGCAGTGTCCAGAAGTAGGTGGTGCACATAGCCCCGGGACAGAAAGACCCGCCCACTCCTCCGCCAACCCAGACCTACCACACAGGGTCCGGGCCACTGCCGCCCCACAGCTACCTCTTGCCCTGCACTGTGCCCAGATCCGGGTGGCTCCTGGGAGCCCCAAAGGGCAGGCCTGGGTGCCCTGAACAGGCGGGGGCAAGCACATGGGAGGCACTCAGCCCATGCCTACTGGTGACAGCACCCACCCTCCCGTGGCTAGTGAGGACAGGACGCAAGGCCCGGCAGTCAGCCCCAGTTGCCCGCTCCCTCCTGGGGACCTGCTTCTTCAAGGCCCCTCCAGGCTGGCATGCGACCCCAATAGTCCTGGGGCTGTGGAGCCCAGTGCTCACTCTGCTTAGAGCAGCTTTGGAAATGGCACGTGCCAGCCCAGAGGCTGGAGCTCCACCCTCTCCATCCACTGCTTCTGGAGCACTGCCCACCTCACCTGCAAGGCTTGCCCATCCGTCTGCACAGGAATCTCCTCTTCTGAGGAGCCTTCCAAGACTCCACCTGAAAACCCTCTACCCTCTAGGGTGACGCATAGGGAACCCCTTATGGCCAGGATTCTGCAGTCGCATCTCTGTGCCTCAGTTTCCCTATCTGTGCAATGGACTGTTGAGGGGGCTAGGGTCCCCTGGCAGCCCACCTGCTCTCCAGCTTCTGGGCCTGAGGAGGTGGGCGGAGAAAGCAAAGCCTCAATGGAGACGGAGAGGGGCGAGGTGACTAGACTGCAGGGGTGAGGGCCTCCTGGGCCCTCAGGGTAGCCCCACCTCCTCACATTCTGCTAGACAGGGTGTGCCCCCAGCTGCCTGCTGCCCTCCGCCCACCCAGAAACCCTGCCCTGGTCCCCACCTGTGCAGCCTGGGTTGGACTCAGCCCTCTGGGGCTCTTGGGTGAGAGAGAGGCTAGTCTCTGAGGCAGGCGAGGCTGGGGCACAGTGAGAGGCCCCAGGAGCAGCTCACGAAGGGGTCTCAGGAGAGACAAAGCTTGGGGGCGCTCCTGAGGGAGGGACTCTAATCCTGGCTCTAGGGAGGACCGGGGCTGGGGCCATCCAAGCAGGTGAGGCTGGGGCCAGGGCCTGGGGTCCCCCAGGGCTTGGGTGGCCAGGAGTCAGGTGTGCCGCTGTCTCAGTGCAGGGCCACAGGGCCAGGGGGAATTTCCAGAGAAAATCTGCGTACACCCTGGGCCAGGCAGGGCGTTTCCGGTGAATCCTTGCCCCATGATGAGCCCATGCTGGTGACTCAACCTGACCATCAGGGGCCTGATCGGTCAGCTTGACTCATGGCCATGGGCCCCGGCCCTGCCTCTGAAAGTCAGGCTCCCCATCACAGAACTGGGGCGCTGCGTGCCTTCTGTTCCTCTGCTGTGGGGGCTCCCTCACGCCGTGGGTGTGTGGGACTCTCCCTCCTGGGCGTGAAATGGTCTGGGGAAGCATGCTGAGAAAGGGACATTTGAGTAGGGTCTTGAAGGACACAGAGGAGTTCGATGCTGGCCCAAGGCCAGGTGAGGTTCCAAGCTGAGGGAGCGGGCTGGGGCCCAGCTGGCTCTAGAGGGCTCTACAGTGGGGTGGATGCCTGGAGGCCCAGGGTCATCATGGGGCCTGTGTGCAGGGCAGAGGGGCTGAGGAGTCTGGACTGAGACATTGACTCTGTCCCATGTGACAACCGAGGGTGGGGTGGGCTGTGCCCTCCCGCTCTCCATGTGCAGATCCTAGTGACTCACCCAGGGCCACCACCTGGATCACCAGCCGGGGCTGGAAAATGGGCACAACCTAGACCCTACTGTGCCTGAGGCCTGCATGTCCTGTGACCTTTGGAGCCGTGCCTCAAAGAAAAGCTTCCTGGTGTTCACCCATCAGACACCACGCAGGCCTTTGCTTCGGCCAGGAAGGGCAGGGCAGGCTTGGAATTAGGATCTCAGGGGTGTGCATCACCCAGTTCATGACACCCCAGGCACAGCCCTGACCCCAAAGCTCCTGGCATTAGGGTTACCCACTTCCATGTTGAACCCGCCGGGGGCCCCTCCTTTGTGCCCCAGGTGAGGAATGAGGTACAGGAGAGGCCGGGTCCTGGAAGGAGGGAACAAGCCCCCAGAGCAGGGCGGAGCCACTCTCAGGGACACAGACCTCCCAGACCACATCAGCCACAGCCACGTGCCCTACCGTGTGACACTTCACAGGGACCAGATGGCCTGGGGTAGGCTCTTCAGGGGAGCATTCGAGAAACCCAGGCAGCCACACTCAATTTCAGCCTGGGGCTGTGGAGGAAGGCCCAGCACTCCTGGACCACCCCAACCCCAGGAACAAGTAGCCTTTTCTGCAGCCAGATGGGGGTGGCCACACATTTGCCCCTTTGTCTTGGAGTCTGGAGCGCCCAACATGCCAAACCAGGACAGGGAGGAGCAGGGGCCAGAGCAGAGCACAGGCAGGGCTGGCCTGGAGGGCAGCTGGGGTGGCCTTGGCCTCCAGGGACCACGCAGCATAGAGGGGGCGGCACATTTATTGCTCACCACGCACACTTGGGGTCAACACCGGGGAAACCGAGGCTCCACGGCGACCGGTTCCTGGGCAGAAACCCGGGCCCCCCGTGCACCAGAGGCAGCTCCAGGGTCCCGTGGCTGATACACGCACTGGTCCTCCCTTGAGGCCATCACACACCAGGGCAGGCGAAGAGAGCCCCAGCCCGGTGTCCCACCCTCTGTCCTGCTTTGGGAAACACCCCCCCAGGCTTTAAGAGGTGATCACACAGGCACTGTCCCTGAGAGGTGTCCCGGATGCACCTCCCCCACCCACACCATGATCCCCGTGGGGGGACCTCCTCCACGGCCCTGGCTTCTGGGAGGGGCAGGGGTGCCTGCAGAGTTCACAGGCTGGCACTCACACTCCGGCCCCGGCACGGACTTGCCCGGTCACCCGCGGCAAACAACCCGCTGTGCTGCTCCTCTCCGCAGCGCCGCCGCGCCCCACTGAACGCAGCCCGTGTCAAGGGACTTTGGCTGGATGGGGGCTGCCCCTGCCTCTTGGACTGAGTGGACGGAGGCCTGGGCTGAGCCCAGTGCTGTGACATCAGCCTGGAGGTCAGAGAGCAGGGTCACCTCCCTGGTTCCTAGGCTGGCCTGGTCTCCTAGGGCTGGGGAGAGCTGGGTAGGGATCCTGGGTCAGCTCGCCTTGGCCCAGGGACTGGCAGAGCATGAGGTGGTCTCAGGCCCTGCGGGGCAGCCCGGGCTGTGGGGGCCCAGGGGTCAGATGCGGCATGGCCTCAAGGACAATGCTCCTTGTCCACCCGCTTCCTGCTTAGGCCCACCTGAAGAGAGGGTCTGACTCCCCCCAACCACCCTCTGGCCTCAGTACCCAGGAGAGCCTGTGACAGTGGAGACTTCATGCTGGCAACAAACAGCAGCTCGGACAGGCCGCGGGGCTAGACAAGAAAGGCCGAGGCCCAGCCCCGGCTCTGCTCCTTCATCACAGCCGCCCCTCCTGCCCCCAAACTCTGGCCACCCAGGAGGCCCTGAAACCCCGCCCCACCATCTGTGTCTAGCAGGCGCCGACCATATAAGGTGCCTCTGGCCTCCCTGCCCAGCCCTTCCATGCTCCCAGCTCGCTGATGCCCGGGGTGGCAGCCCCCTAGCTTGGGGTCTTGGTGGCAAAGGTCAGGTAGCCGGTGTGGCCCACGGCCTCCTTCATGGGCGTGCCGCTGCGGAAGGGGCTGGTGTCGGGGCTGGCAGGGCCATCTGTGCCCGAGCCCAGGTCGGGCAGTGGCAGGCTGACGGTGCGCACGTTGTAGACCTGCGGCAGCACCTCCAGGGTGCTCAGCTCTGAGAAGCCGCGCGCCGCCAGCGCCTGGCACGTGCGCTGCACCTGCTCGATGCACGGTGAGAAGGAGCAGAAGCGCCCGCCTGTGGGAAGCAGGATCCAGGGTCAGAGGGTGGGGGTGGTGGAGCAGGGCGTCTGGCCCTGGCATCCCTGGACTCACACCCTTAGACAGCCAACACAGACTACCAGCCCTCCAGAGAGCGGGGACTGCAGGGCAGAGGGGCCTGGCACCATGGTTCCCGTCACCCAGCTTAGCTGTGCCAGGTCCTCCCATGTTCCAGGCACTGGGTCAAGCCTGTGCTGCCACTGTCTCACTTGGCCCACCACGGGCACTGCCCTCCTTCACGGGGCCACAGGATGCTGGGCCTGGAGCAGCAATGACAACACCGCAGTGCGGTGTGGGGGGGGGGGGGGGGGCGGGGGCTCTAGCAGGCGGGGGCCGCTGCTGTCACAGGAAATTAGAGGCTGTCGCTGCTCCCGGGAACAGGAGGCGCCTACTTGAAGTGGAGCCCAAGTGTGGCAGCCCCTCCCTCCCTCCCTCCTCCCACCAGGGCAGCCACAGGCTTCACTCAGCCTGGCCCGGAGTGAATGAGAGCGCAGCCCCGGGCCCTGTCCTGGCAGGGAGGACCTGGGGAAGCCAGGGCTAGGTAGAGGTACGTGGCCCAAGCAAGTGTCCTCAAATGTCCCTGAGGCCTGATCCCCTCAGCTGTACCCTGACACGGGGCTGCCGGGAGGTCCAGAGTTAGAGGAGGCTCCTACATGACAGCAGCCTAGAGAGGCACCAGGTCCTGCTGATGTGACGCTGCTCGTTGCACCCTCCCCGCTGGTCCCCAAACGAGTCAGGAGCCTGTGGACTTGGAAGGGGCAGTGCAGGAAAGGCCCCGACGAGGGAGGTCGCAGGGAAAGGGAAGGTCTCAGAGGCAGGTGTGGGTTCCCAGGGCCACTACTGAGGAAGGAGTCAGAGGCAGGAAGGGGCCCCAGAGCGGGCTCTCCTGAGTTCAGCCTCCCCAGGACTGCGCCCAGGCTCAGAAGTGTCCCCAGAGCCCGGGAGCCTGCGAGGGTGCAGGGGCAAAGGCGGAGGGGAGGAGGCAGGTGTGGAGATGCCCACAGCCACCCTCAGGCTCCTCAGCAGAGACCAGGAACCAGGAGTCAGGGCTGGGCCGGAGCCGGCAGGGGACCCTCAGCCACAGCCTTGCTGTGGTCTGAGGAGGGGTGTGGCGCCCTGTCCCCACCCTCCCCACTCCCACAATGCAACTCTCAACTGGGAGGAAGGAAGGGGGCCCTGCTGCCTGAGCCGTTCCTTCTCCAGAAAAGGGAAAGACCAGGGCCTCCCAGCCGCCTCCTTGGCTTGGGGCCCGACCTTCCCCAGGGCTGCCCCGCCTCCGCACCCAGCATCTTCCCTATAAGGGGCCAGCTCCCTGGGCTCCAGAGCTTGGGGGAGGGGAGTCGTCGGGAAACAGCAGGGCAGGGGGTTCCAGACACCTCCAGCCGGGTCGCCCTGCACTTAGGGGGCGCTGCTACCTTCTCCCATCGGGGGGGGGGGTCGGGAGAGGCCAGAGACCATGAGCAGGGCCCAGCTGGGGCCCATCCTCCCCGGCTCTGCCTGCCCTGGCCAGCCCAAGCCACTTCTCACCTCAGGCCAAAAAGGGGCCCTGGCCTGGCCACCGCCTTGGTATGTCTTGGTTTCTAGACCAAGGAGCTCCCAGGAGCTCAGCCCTCACCCTTGACGCCCTGCCCCAGGCTGTGCCTCTCCCGGAACCCGACGTACCTTCCACCTTGAGGGCATCCCAGGCGTGCCCCACGGCCTCCCAGGGTGACGGGATGTCCAGGAAGACAGCATCAGCCACGTGGCTCACGCCAAAGCCGCTGCGGCACACATCCTGCGTGCGCACGGTCACCCAGCGGCCCACGCGGTGCTCCTGGAACTCCTCCCGTGCCTTCTCTGCCCGCTGCTGGTGGAACTCCACCGTATGCAAGTGGCCCGTGGGTGCAATGGTGCGGATGATGGCGTGGGACACAGAGCCACTGCCTGTGCCTGTCGGGACAAGATGGGACAGGCGAGGCATCAGGTGGGACTGCTCGGGGTCCACAGACTTCCAGGAAACAACCCCCGCCTCACCCCAGAGACCCGCACAGGGCTCAGGAGGACCCCAGGCGACGGGTGGGCTGTGTAGTCCCGGCTGCCTAGAGCCCTGGCCAGCCCTGCGTTGGACACACTGTCTAGGGGGTGAGCTGGTGTTGACAGGCTGTGTAGGCTGTGGTGTCTGCTGTGGGTACAGGCCAGCGGCAGCCCTGCTCCATCCTGCCTGGTGCAGGTACAGGAGCTGAGAGAGCCCGCTGGCTGGAGCCTCCCGGGGAGTCTGCAGGGGGAACAGAGACCCATCCCATGGTTCAGCCCTGTCTCCTCCCATGCATGGCCAATCCCCTCCTCAATCCCCGCCACTAGTGGCCCACCCTGCTGGACCTCGTGCCCACCTCTCCCCAGGAGCTCCTTGGTCCCCTTCGAGTCAACTCACCCCCACCAAGCCAGCCCAAACCTGCCCCCACCACACAGGGGCTGGGGCTCTGCTCTGGCCTGGCTGGACTCAGGATGCAGGGCCCGGCCACCAGCCCCACAGCCCTGGTCCCTCCCAGCATGCCTGCCCCCAGCTTCTCTCCCCAGCTTCCCTCCCCAGCACGCCTGCCCCCAGCTTCCCTCCCCAGCACGCCTGCCCCCAGCTTCCCTCCCCAGCACGCCTGCCCCCAGCTTCCCTCCCCAGCACCCTGCCCCCAGCTTCCCTCCCCAGCACGCCTGCCCCCAGCTTCCCTCCAGACTGTCCCCCTGCTTGACTCCCTGTCCTGTGGCACCAGGCCAGGCCCTCCGTCCCTCTTCCCGCTCCAGCTTCAGGGGCCATTTACCTGATGGCACTCCTATCCCCAGGCCCCTCCACTGAGACTCCTGCTAGAGCATCCACTGCACACCTTCCACCCACCCCTCAAACCCTAACAGTGCTGAGCATCGCAGTGCTCGGCCAGACCCTTGGAGGGGCCTCCACCTACTCCTGTCCTGCCTCCTGCCGCCTCCCACATTCTCTCCAGGGGCTGGCCCCTCGCCCCACCTGTCCAGCCCCTCCTCTAGGTGCTCCCAGCCTGCTGCCTCTCCCCTCCGCAGAGCCTGGCCGTGCCCCCTTCCCAGGGGTGAGAGGTGGCCTCTGGGGTACAGCCCGGTTCCCCTCCAGCCTCACTTGCAGCCCCTCCGTCTCCCCCACTGAGCCTGACTTGGCTGCACACTTCAACTGCAGGCTTCTGCACAGCTCCTCCTTGGTGCAGAGCTGTCCCTTGGCTCTTCGTGGGTCCCTCCTCATCACGTTCAACTCAAATGTCCCCTCCTCAGACAGGTCTTCCCTGCCTGGCCTAGCTGGAGAGACCCCACTCTGGGTCCTGCTCAGACACACAGCCCTGTCTCACAAGCTTCATAACCTCAACGGACACACCCCAGGCTGTGTCTTCCTCTCTCCTCGAGGGCAAGAACCCGATCTATCTTGTTCTCGGTTCCTAGGAGGGGATCTGGCATATCCGAGGAGGCCACAGGAGGAGCGTGCTGCTTGATTTCGCTCTCTCTCAAGGGTGGGGCAGGGGCGGAGAGGCCAGCACCCCGCCACAGGATGCACAGGGAGCTGATGGTGCTGGCTCTGAGTCTTGCTCTCCACCCAGATGCCCCAAGGAGGGACACGGTGACTGCAGCCCTCAGAAAGCCAGCATGACAATGCCAGGCACTCTTTGTGAACCCGGACCCTAGCCCTCTTGCCCATGAGAAAAATGCCACCAACAACCTAGATGCATCTGGGCCTGGGCCTCAGTCGTCACACCAGGTGGCCCCAGCACCTGTATGTGTGCAGAGTTCCCACAGCCCAGGCCCTGGACTCAGATGGTGCTCACATTCATTGGTGGCAGGTGAAGATCTGATCATGGATGAGGATGGGGAAGGCTTGCAACCTGCAACAGCTCCCCGGGGTAGTCTTGGCCTCTCTCCAGAAGGGGCAACTCTCTCTGCTTCACCATCAGCACAGAGGACGAGAGACTGACAGTCAGCACCCAGGACAGCGCCAAGCATCGAGAGGGCCAGGCCCCACCAAGGCAAGCAGGACCCCCACAAGGACACCACATCCTCCCTAGCTCCCCTAGTCTATTTCCCACCACCTCTCACTCCAATGACAGCACCAGCCTCCGAAGGGGCTTCCCTGCCTCCACCTTCACTCCCTGCTGTCAGCATCCCAGAAAGATGTGAAAACAGAAGCTGAAGAGCCACATCTGTCTGTAGGAAGGGCAGGCTGGAGGCTCTGACCTCCACCTTTGTGTCAATTTCTGAGTTAAACTGAGGCAGCCTGAGGAACTCACCAGACTCACAGACCACAGAGCCGGGCCGAAGCTCCAGCATCATGGTGATGAGGGCAATGTCCGTGGAGTAGAGGATCTGCGTGCGGTGTGGCAGGTTCAGTGTCCAGAGCTCAGGCGTGGGGTGCAGCACGTACACCCAGCCACCTCGGCCACAAGTCACCTTGGAGCCGAAGGGGCGGCCGATAAGGTCAACTGAGTGTCGCAGGACACCATGCCGGGTCTGGGTCTGTGCCCCACGCTGCACACGCACTGCCACCATTGCACCATGGCCCAGTGACAGGATGGCTGTGTCACCCTCCTTGATCAGCTCCTCGTATGCCACGAAGCTCATGGTGTTAATATCTAGCAAGTGCCAAGGACCTGGAGAGGGGTGTGTGGAGGAATGAGCAAGTCAGGAGGCAGGAGTAGGGCCTGGGGTCTAGGTAGAAGGCTGAAATCCCAGCAGCGGGCATGGGCGGGGTGTGGCTAGCTCAGCCTCTGCCACTGCCTGACAGGGAGCCCAACAGCGCTGCACTCTGGTCTGACCTGTGCAGCCTTTCTTGGTCTAGGACAAGAGACAGGGACTATGAGCCTAAATCATAAATGAAAAGACTGGGGCTGGGCAATGGCGGAGGTTGGTCCCAAGGATTCCCAGAGTGAGGACCCGACCCTCCCATCACCCTTCTGCAGGAGCTTCACTCCTATGCCCGAGGTGTGAGATGAGAAAGCGCGTTTGCGAGGTGTCCACTGGTTGGGGGGAGGCAAGTGGTCAATGAGGTCACCTCCAAGCCAGGCTTGATTCCTCGCCCCAATCTCCCCCACAACAGGCTCCTGAGTGGGCGGGGAACGTGGTATGCCGGAGGGGTACGGGCTCCCCAGGAAGGGCCGTCAACGCAAACACCACCCAGCCGGTACAGAAGCAGCGAGGGGGCAGGCCGGGCCGGCGGGGGCCGCCCATGCGAGGCTGGAGAAACAGGCCCTGCGTGCCGCGCTGGCCCGGACCACCCTTACCCTCGCCCTGCCATCCTGGGCCCCGCAGAGTCTCACCCGCGACTCTCCCTCCGCCGGGGCTCCACACATGCCTCCGCGACACGCGGCGGCGGCCACAACACTTCAGGCTCCGCGCCCGCTGATGACGTCGCGCCCCGCCCCGCCCTCTCAGCGCACGGGATCCTGGGAGCGCCAGGCTGCCCTTCCCGTCCCTCCCAGAGGACGTTTCCTGGGCGACTTCTGACTTTATGTGAGCTGCTCTGTTTACACTTGCTGGTTGCTGGAAGATCGGAAGACGGGACAAAATCCAGAGGGCGGGCGGGCAGCCAGCGCGGTGACCGTCGCCTATGAGCCCACGTTTTGGGAGGCCGAGGCAGGAGGTTCTCCTGAGGTCAGGAGTTCGAGACTAGCCCGGGAAACGAGTGCGACCCCAACATCTGTACAAATAGTAACAAACAAAAGGGCGCCCTGTCCCGCCGGCCGCGGGTGGCCGTCATACCCAGCCACATTTGAAGGGGTTCAGGAGCCAAGGCGTGGCTGTCACTGCTGTCCAGGACCCCTTTGACAGGCCCTGGGAGTTCACCAGAGAGCTGGCCCGTGGTCCTGTATGAGGACGCTTTGCCACAGACATTTTGTCATTGCAGACTGCTCTGGGAACACCCCTGACTGGGCCCCAAGATGAGTTCCAGAAAATAAATCGCAGGTCAAGGGTTCATCCCAAAAGGCTTGGGCTAGGGTCAGCCAGAGGCACAGAGATAGGGGCCTGGAAGAGTCTGCAGAAGTGGCCTTCTGCTCAGGCCCTGCTTCCACCGAAGGGGACATGTTCTGAGTGCAGAGCTGCTTCTAGGAGGGAGAGGGGGTCCCGTGTCCCCTTCTGGGAACCAAGGCTCAGTGAGAGCTGGATGACTTGGGCCCACTCGGGTCTGGTGAGGAGCCAAGCAGGAGATGGAGGAGGAGCTGCTGGAGAACAGGCAGAAAAGAGAAGGGGGAGAAGCGGGAGAAGGGGGAGTGCTGTTCTGTCTCCACAGTGCTCCTCTCAGCTGGCTCCTCTGTGGAGTGTGTGCAGAAGAGCGGGGGCAGGGCACGGGCGTTTTCTTCCTCCAGCCCTTAGCTCTCAGGGCCAGGTCTTGGAGAGGAACAGAGACCCCTCCCCGCCCACCCAGCCTAGGGTTTAGCCTGCACCCAAACCCAAGCCAGTTAGCAATGACCTTAGGCCACCCTCCCCAGCCGCCACTCCAGCCTGGTAAAATGAGGTGGCCATGCTCCTTCAGAGCCAGCTCTGCTCTGGGACCTTGGCAGCCTGTGGGCACTCTCAACTCTCTCGCCTCTGGGGCAGGCCAGGCCAGGGCATCTGTGGCCCTTACCATGGGCTTCTCGGGGTCCATCATAGAAACCCAGGGGTCCAACCTCAGCCCCTCTGTGTCCCGGCCCTAGCTGGGCCTGGAGCTGAGAGCCCCCAGGAGTAAGATGGTGAGAGGCCTTCAATAGCCTCCCGATTTCTGTGGGCTCCTGTCCCTGTGGGGCCACCACGCTGGCCACCAGCTGCCTCTACATCTGTCTCATGGCCTCCCTGCCTTCTGCTCTCAATGTCGAGACAACCCAGTCCCATCCATGGCTCCCCAACCTCTGTTCCAGCAGATGCCGCTCTCCCTTGACGATGCACCTGCCTGAGTTACCCCCTAATTGCTCCCCTGGGGGATTCTGACTTTGCATTTCTCTTGGGCTTCTCTTCCCCAGCCTCTCAGCTGTGGTGTAGAGTTAAGTCAGCTGCTTATATGGGCCTGAGTTAGGATTTGGTGACTCGGTGGTGGTTTCCCTTGGTTCCAACTTCCCACTTGCTTCTCTGTCCATTACTGGCTGGCCAGCTCCTCCAGTGCCCCCTCCTCCAGGCAGCCTTCTCAGCCCTGCCCATCTGCTCCATCTGCGCCTGCCCCAGTCCCCAGCCTGAGTCATCAAGCAGAACGAACGCCCCTACCTCAGCTGATGATTCCCTGCACAGTTTGTACTGGGGCTCCCCACAAGGGCTGATGCCACATATGCCCAGCTGTGTCATTTCACTGAATTCTCTCCTGGATCCTATGAGGGAGGGAATAGTTTATAGATGGAGAAACAGAAACTCAGAGAGGTTAAGTAACTTGCCTAACATCACAGCCAGTGAGGTCAAAGTGGGATTAGGATTTGAAGCCAGTAGCTCAGCACTGAGGAGGCTGAGAAGGGAGGACTGCTTGAGGCCAGGAGTTGGAGTTCCCCCTGGGCAACATAGCAAGACACCGTCTCTTAATGCATTAAGAATTAAAGCCAGTAAACTGGCTTCAGAGAATGAATGGCCGATCTGAAGAAAGGTGGGAACAGGCAGGAAGGATGCCCACAGGGGAGGCTGCTCTGTCACACCCCTGGCAGGGACCACCCTCTCTGACCAGCCCAGTCTCCTGCCCCATTGTGCTCTGTGACCCCGTCAGCCCCTGCCCCTCTCCTGACCTCAGCCCACTTCCTCTTCGGGTTCTGCAGAACTCAGGGGCAGGGCAGTTGGAGGAGGCAGTGCTGCCTGTGCTTCGCTCTGGGAGCAGACTCCAAGGAAGGCCCCCGAGCCGTGTCATGTTCTGCAAATAAGAGGCCTGGGCCTCCTTTGAAGCCCCCTCTAGGCCCAGTGGTTCATGTGTAGCCAGGTGTGATTTCTGAGGAACCTGGGCCAAACACTGGCCTGGTAACATCACCAGCCTTCAGCTCCTTGGGCCCTCGGGAAAGCAGGGGTCTGCCGATGGGGCAGGTGAGCTGGGGGGAGGCCGGCACCTTCCAGACCCTCCCCTTGTGCCCTTGCTCTGGGGGCCACTAAGGCTCCCAATCAGCCCCTGCCTGGGGGGTCTCACCCTGACACTTGGGTCTCAACTGCTGCTGCTGCCCCATCACAGCTGCCTGGCCTCTGCCCTGTTGGTCGGCCCCAGGCAGCTGGCACAGGGCTGGCACTCTGCGAGGGTGGTGGGAGTACTGGGCCTATGACTGGACACTTCTGTCACCCAACTTCTGATCTGTCTGCACACTGAGACCAGCTGGGCAGCACAGCGAGACCCGTCTCAACAGAATAAAAACAAAAATAAAACAATCTTCTGTCTGCACAGTGGGGACAAACACACCCACCTCAGAAGGCTGAGGGTTGCCAGGAGCCCCCGACCGGACCCACCCCAGGGCCCGGCTCACTGCTTGCCATAGGCAGTCCTGCTCTCCAGACCTCACCTCTGCAGTTCTGACCTTGACTGTGGTGGGAAGGGCAAAAGGGGTCCTTTCCCATGGGGGTCTGGGGAAGCAGGTTAGGCTCTCTGCCAGGAGGGTGAGAGAAGGGAGGGGTGGCCTGAGAAGCTGCAGATGCTGAAGACAGAGGAAGTCCTGAGTGTCCCCTCAAGTCCCTCCCTGCCCCAAGTCAGCCTCCAGGGGCTGCAGCTCTCCCTTCTAGAAACAGAAACTTAAGCCCTTCAGGCTTTGTGGGGTGGGGGGTGGGCAGCTGCAGAAATGTCTAAAATTGGGGAAAGAGGCTGCAGGGGCACAGAGAGCAGGAATTCCAGGCTTAAGGGACACCTGCTGTCTGGCCAGCCCAGAGGGGCCATTTGCCTTTTTACATGGGTTGGTTTTATTAGTCTAAAAAAGGCTGACTTGGAACAGGACAAAGCATGCCAAGCAGGGAAGAGGCATGTGTCTCCTCTTCAGTGACCACGGGGATGGGGCAGAGCCCCATGGCCAAGCAGGGAGGAGGCATGTGTCTCCTCCGCAGTGACCACGGGGATGAGGCAGGGCCCGACACTGATGCTCATACAGGCAGAGGTGGACAGGCTTCCCCTGCCTTTGCGCCTTGGCTCTGGTGCCTTCTCCTCAGAGGCACCTATTCAGGGTCTCTTATGCCTGGAACTGCTGTGCCATGTCCCCCCAACCCCAGCAGCACTGATCTCCTAATGTCATCTGGTTTGCTGGGCTGCTGGCTCATGGCCAGTCTTCCTCCAGCAGCAGGCACTGTGCACCTTGCTGCCTGCTGTATCCCCAGCGGCTGGCACTGGGCAGGTGCTCACTGTGCCATTGCTGGAGGAGTTTTTGTCAAATACACCCACGGATAAGGGTTCCCCCCTTCCTGGCTTTAGTCACAGAGCAACATATGAGGGTCCTTGATAGATATTAACCCCACATGCTCCACTTCCCCCTCTTAACAGCTGCATAATACTCCACAGCAGGCAGATGCCTCCCCACCCTTAGCCAGTCCCGCCTGATGGGCATCGGCGGGTATCCAGACGTGTTTGTTTTTCCCTTCACACATCTCCTGGTCCATTAATGGAGAGAACTGAGACATCCCTCCTAAGGGCTGCATTCCTAGAAGTGGGATTGCTGGGTCACAGAGTTCGAACATTTTTAACTTTAACAGATTCTGCCAAATTACCTTGCAAAAAGCATGCAGCAATTCAAGTTGCAGGCAGCATGTGCATGCCTGTCTCCCTGCATTCCAGCTCATAGCCAGCACTGGCTGGGGTCGATCTGGGAGTGTTGAGGGTAGAGACAGGTGGAGTCACTGTTTAATTTGCGTGATTCTGGTTATTCGTGAGGTGAGTTTTTTAAATCGTACCTCTGCTTATTGTTTATTAGCATTTCCTCCCATCCTTGCCTGAAGTCTCTGGAGACTGCCTTTGGGGGTCGAGTGAACTTGTCCCCTGCGAAGAGGGCCGAGGGTTGGGGTCTGGAAACTCTGAGGCTGCACTTGCCGGCGGTCTCTTAAGGCCACAGTGTCCCAGTGGTTTCTGCCCCGCATCCCCCGGAGCCCCAGGACTTGTCCAAGGTCAGGGCACCGCGGTGCCCCCGCGCTGGGCCGCAGCCAGACTGCGCCTTCCGCGTGCCTTCGCTTTGCACCAAGATCGCCCAGGAGATGCCTGAGGGCACCTTGAGGAAGGTCGGCGGCTCCAGGCCAGCTCGAACGGGCCGGGCGTGGCGTGCGGGCAGCACCTGCTGCGGAAGCCCTGAACGCTTCCGCCCGGCCCCTCGCCGCCGCCGCCGCGGGGGCTGGCTGGACGAGGCGGGCAGGCGCGAGGATGCGGACGAATCCGAGCGTCCTCGGGTGCCCGGAGGCTCTCCAGCCTCCGTTTCCCGCTCAGAGGCAGGGCGCGCGAGGGGATACAGATAGCTAAGGACCTGAGGTTTCGGCCTCGAGGTCTTGGGCCGGCGCTGGGCAGGCTGCGCGGGGTCCCGGCGAGGGGACGGCTCGGGTGGGCGGCCGGGGGGTGTTGGGGGCTGCGGGCGGCGGACAAAGCGGCGGCACCACCCCGTGGCGCGGGCCAATGGAATGAATGGGCTATAAATAGCCGCCAATGGGCGGCCCGCGTTGCGCCCCTTAAGAGCCGCGGGAGCGCGTAGCTGCCGCTGTTCGCCTGCGCCGCGCCCAGAGCTGCCGACCGACGGAGCGATCCCGTCCCCGCCCCCGCACGGACGCCAGGTGAGTGGGCCCGAGGGCCGGGGGCGTCCGTGCCGGGGCGAGGGGCGCTGCGTACAAAGGGGGGGCGCGGGTGCTGCGGCGTCACGCGCTCGGGGCGCGCCGCCTG